ATATTTATACCATTTCAACCCAAAAACTTTTTTAACCCTCTTTTTCCCTTTCCACCCATTAAAATAGTTTTTGGGTTGAAATGATATAACAAGATTTGTTGGTGCTAATTTTTATGGTCAAAAGTCAATAAAAGAGAGAGATAAGAGATGAGGGGGTATGGTGAAATCCTTAGGGGTTTCCTTGTGCTACTTGAAAAAAAAACGGAAGGAGGGTCTACCATGAAATAATATGAGGAATTTGGGTTTCTACCATGAAATAATATGAGGAATTTGGGTTCTATGTGAAAATTTTCCAAAAAAAAACCCCACTAAAAGAAAAAAAAAAAGTAAGAGAAACAAAACACACACGCACTCTCCTATAAAGTTTCATTCCGAAGTTTTCTAACTGTAGTGCTGGATGGACAGTTATTTTATAATGGGACAGAGCTTTACTTTTAAGGATATGTTTTCTCCTGAAAGTAAAAAAAAAAAAAACTAATCCCTGTTTTTATTTTTCGATGCAGCACAACATTCAGAAATTTGGAGGCTTGCAATCTCCATGGAGGGGCACAAATCAGAGATTGCAGATTGGGACTTGGGTGCTGGAATTTATATCTACTTTTACCTTCTAAAGAGCTCATTTGAGGATGAAAACACAATGGCTGAATTTGTAAGACAAGCATTTCACAATCGCATGCTTTCCTTTAAAAATCTAATGATTTTTTGCTGTTTCCTGTGGGCCAACAAGAGTACTATAAGTTTTACCAGAGAATATCTTGATACACATATCTGGCTAAATAACACATAGAATATTAACAAAAACTATATAAAAATGTTGAATTGCATAGTAAATCTAGTTGTCATAGTTGATTTGAGACATGCATTCTACTTGCATACACTGCCAACTTCATATTCTGAAATCCTGTTCAAGGCAATTGCGTATACTGGCATGAAAACTAATCTAGTGTACTGGAATAAATGGTCAGCCCTTTCTTTCTACCAAATGTTTACATGTTATTTGAGCAAAAAAGAGTTGACAGATCTTTTTTGCAGGATTCCTTAGAAAAGAAAAATGATGAGTGCCGTGCTTTCTTTAGTCGCTTAAAGGACTCTTTGTCTGTGTGGGGAAACAGATTACTCCCAGCTGCAAGGTATGTGATCATATTTAAATTAGAGTTTGCTGTTTTTTTTATTTTGCTGTTTCCTTTTTTTTTTTTGGATATGAAATTTTGAACATTACATTTTTGTTTTTCTTTTTTGGTTTGCTGTCATTATTCATGACGTTATTAATTGGGGAAATGTGGGTCTTGTGCAAACCCTGTTCTTTTTCAATATGGGAGAAATATCCAATTTCTTAGTGGACATAAGCACCATTTCCAAATAGTGAAGAATTTGTTCAAACTTTTTGAAGTGGCAGTACTCTAGGTAGGTAGAGTTGAGGATCTCTACATAGGATTATAGGGGTTGCCAAATTTTTTCTTTTTTTGATCAGTATCAGGGTTTGCCCGGATCTCCGATCGGGTTACCGTATCCAAGCTCTATGTCTAGTGTGCACTCTTTGGACTTCGAAAACTTAGCAAACTGAAACATCCAAGTACCTAAAGGAAGGGAAATCAACCGAGCCGTTAGTAGCGGCGAGCGAGAGCGGATTGTCATGCTGCTCTTGTCTATTTTTTAATATGCTTAAATTATTTGCTTCTAGGGAAGTCCATTATAGTTTCATGAAAGATTCAGATATTTGGGTCTATTTCCTGATATACCAGTTAGAATCTTAAGCTTTCAATCTCAGATTACTCTTCTTGAACTTTTAATTTAATACACATTCTTTTATGTCTCTGGGTACATACATATGATGTGTCCGTACAGACACACCCACACACTTACACAGGCAAAAGATTTCCTACTACAGTGGGTGTGTACTTCCCATCTACTCCCTCGGACGGCTCATCCTAGAAATATTTTTTAGATGCCAAATTTATGAAATGTAATCTCAGAACCCATTGACTAACCTCAAAGAGAGAAAAAAAAACTCGTAGTCTGTGTGCCTAAAAAAATTGACTGCCCAATATTGCACAGGAGCCATCTGATTTGTGGAGGGAAAAATCTAGATGTTCAAGGACTCAAAATCGAATTATTTTTCTTTGAAAACAGTCATCTAGTTATACTTAGATGGTTCTCAAAATTTTGAATAAAAAAAATCCTCTCGAGTAGCTATTTTGCCTGTGGGGGTTGTTGTGCAGTACGACCTCACATATATATATATGGGTGTGGACATGTGGTTTGTATGAGGTGTCAACCTTAAACAAACCAAGTAAGGCGAACCTCCAAAGATACAATTTTGGTGTCAGAAATTCCAACAATGACCTGAAAAACTATTTCATCTCTAATTTTGAAATTTAAAACTCAAAAAATGCTACAGATCAAGAATATTTGTAAATACATAAAAACATTGAGAATGGATGGTCTAGATTATTGTATTACAAGATGCACCATTTTTGAGACTTTAAAGTATTTTTTTATTTTTTTTACATTCATCTTGAGATGATCAATTAGAGGGTTTTTTAGCATCAGAAAAACCATTTCCGATGGGTTTTTGAGGCATGCCTTTTTTTCTATGGTATAAGGTTTCAACCTTATATAAACTTTTTCTAGAGAGAGAGAGGGAGAGATTAGTTTCATTTGCCCTTTCTTGTGGATATAAATAACTAAATATGCCCCCAAAACTTTCGACATCTAGACGTTTAGCTCATTTTGCGTGTGCTGCAGGGGGACATATTCTAAGATGGCAGAGGAGCTGTCCACATTGCTATCATCTAGAATTTCGAAAGGCTCCACTCGTTCATCACAGCTGAGCTGCTTGGATACCATTTTAGACGCACCCATGCCTGAGGATATTCGGTCCTGCCATTTGCAAGATGCTATTTCAGTATTTACGTTCTGGTTATCAGAAGTTGCATCATAGAAGACGTGTGATCAAATTAATCGATGAAATTAGCACAATCTGGGAGTAAAGAAGAAATAATGACATGAATATCATTTAGAATTGGACCTTTATTACATCGGTGCAGTTGGCATACGGATGCATCCGTAGATGTAGAGGTAAGATGCGCCTTCAAATTTTATCATGGTATATAATTTTGATGTAAAATGTTCTTAGGATTATCTCAAAATCTATTTTTATATAATTATAAAACTTTAAATTTAAAAAATAGTTAAAATCAAGTAGATCTATAAACATATAAAAATCTTGAAAATGGCCGGTATAGATAATATGTTGTAAAATGCACTATTTCTGAGGCATAAAATCTTTTTATTTTTCATAGTCATACGTCTCGATGTCGAGATGATCAATCAAAGGGTTTTTCAACATGAAAACTACCTTTTCCGATGGATTTTTGAGGCTCATTGTATGGTTGCAACCTTATATAAACTTTTTCCTTATTACATGTGTGTGAGTTGAAATAGGAAAAGAAAAGTAAATCTGAGCCTTTGGGCTTTCCACCCATTTGAAGTGGTTATATTTCATGTTGCTCTTTAACAGGATTTTTGCGTTGAATGTTGTTAATTGTCTTCACCGTTGTTTAGTAATTTAGAGCTTGCTGGTCAGTGCAAGTAGATAATTTATGTATAACATTTCTAAAAGGAAATGTCAGATTTCTTCTTGTGGGATGAGAATTGCCATCCATTTTTTGTTCTCAAGTGACATAGTGCTCCCAGTTTTTGTATATCTCAAATGGGTACTGTATATTTTACTGTGAACTTGAATGCCATTTATGATGTATATTTTACTGTGAACGTGAATGCCATTTATGATGGTCATTATGGTAAAAGTCAATATTTTTTTTTTTGGTGATAATGTTAGCTGTTGTATTGAGTATAAGGAAATTACAAAATTCAACGCTTTATTGTGATGAGGAAAATCAACGCTTGTTTCATAAGAAATTACTATATTTCTCTCTGATTTCCTTGGTGTAAACTCTGAATGTATTTGTTTTTAAGTAGGGAAAAGTTTATATAAGGGTGAGGCTCTAAACAATCAAAGTAAGCCGCACTTCAAAACTTCACTAGAAGATGTTGTTTTAAATCCTCAAATCGATCATTTCCACCCCAAGATATATGAATATCATAAAAAATGGATTTTAAGTATTAGAAATAGTGCATCTTATACTATATTTTTGGAGTGTCAATTTTCAAGATTATCAAGTATTTATAGATCTGTTCGATTTACATTATTTTTGAAGCTTTAAATTTTATAATCAGAGATAAAAATAAAATTTCAGGTCATTACAAAGATTTGTAGTAATAATATAAAATCTTTCGACAGTGTTTCAAGGTGTGCCTTTGATGGTTTTATGTATTTCTGCCAGTAGATAATGTTTGGGTTGTGGGTGGTAGGGGGTGTAAATTTTCAAATTTCTCTGCGTGTAAATTTTCAAATTTCTCTGCGTGTAAATTTTCAATTTTCTCTAGGGTAAGCCAGTTGGTTTACTTGTGAAAATGCGTCAAATGGCCCAGATTGAATCTGGGCTGATTTTACGATCACAGATATCCGATAGTATTGGAAGTTTAATTTTTTTTTCTATAAATTCAAAGCACTTAAAATTTTAGGTGTGTGTTTATAAAAAATAGGTGAATTTTTGAAAAATATCAAGAAAAAATTTCACATGAAATAAATTGATCAAAATACTTTCGAAAAGTTAGGGGGGTATTTTGGTCATTTTTTATAATTTTTTTAATATATTTTTATTAGGTACGGCTTGATGAGAAGAGCAAACGCCTAAATTTTCAAGTGATTTGGATTTATAGAAAAAAAAAAAAAATTAAATTCAAACACTACCAGACAGTTGTGTTCGTCAGATCAGCCTAGATTCAATATAGTCCGTTTGGTGCATTTTCACAGGTAAACCAAATGATTTATACTATGCAATGCCTATAAGAGAAAATGAACAGTGATTTTACTTATGAGAGGGATGGGCAAAACCCCAAAATGAGAGGGATGGGCAACGAGATATATATTGAGAGGGGTAAATGGGAGAGAGATTGAAAGAGGGGTGAGTTTCAGAGAGATTGCGAGAGAGGGGCAACGTGCCAACGAAGATTTGAGGGAGAGGGTTTAAGAGAGAGGGGTCAGCTGGAGAGAGACGGAGAGAGATGAGTTACAGAGCTTAAGAGAGAGAGAGGTGGGTGGGAGATGGAGAGAGAGGTGGGTGGGAGATGGAGAGAGAGAGTTCTCATTGCGTGAAAGGTAGAGACGGGACGCCGCTGTCAGTCAGTTTCTTTTCAATAGTGTAGGGCTCTTGGGATTTAAAAATCCAGATGATTGGGAAAAACAATCGTAACCGTTGGCGTATGAAGCCCCATACATGAGTGGGTGTACCAAATCCTTTCCCATATATATATATTATTAAATTTTTTTTTTTTTTTTTTTGAGCTGAGTCTGGGTCTGGGTCTGTGTCCGGGTTCAAGTCCGGCGGTACCCTGACCTGACCTAACTCGCTGCCACCCCTATGTTAATGTGTTAGCACAGGTCGAGGCCAACCGCGACCCAAAGCCGACCAATCTGGCTCCAGGCTGGACCCAGTCCTGTATCACGTTAGTGGATCCAATATTTTGAGTCCATACTAAAACCCATGTGGAGTCAACCCGACCAAATTGCCACTTCTACTATGGAGTTTTGCATTGCAAGACATTTATTTCTAGTTTTTATTATTTAGAGGGGGCAAATGGTCCCCAGAGGGAACGAAGAAGGAAGGCGTGATGTGATTTAATTTTGCTCGGTGTTATTGATTTCAGTGATGCACGCTCGCGCATGGGAAAAAACATGCATCCTTTTAAACCCTGTCTTAGACTTTACTCAAAAGGAACCCATGCCCCTTGCATGAGTGAGAATCATGGCTCTCATTATTACCACCTTTTGAGGTATTTACCAAATTACCCCTGTCTCTTGAAATAAGGGAAATTTATTCAAATACTTTACTGAGATTAACCATTTTAGTGACAGAGTTCATTGACTATTGTAAAAGTTATTAGGACACTTGATGAATATAATAAGTATAGTGACCGGTCAAGTACTATAGACCATCTTCCGAACGCTAGGATTTCTTCGGTACACAAAATGTGCCTGCCCCGTACTCCTACCGCTTGCATATTAAAGGAGAGGGTGCTCTCGGATCCTATTATTTTTGGATTTAATTTAAAATACTTTAACATAATGCATCATTATGAGCTAGAATAGTTGCAAATGCATAAAATATTAGATAATTCAGATATTGTAGGTATTCTGATAAATTTCCCTTAAAACAATGGCAATTTGTGGGTCCTAATCTTTATCTACCGTCATCCATTACTTTTGATGAATGGTGGCCTTCAGGGTTGTAGGTCTTTCAGTATTTTAAAAACCTGGATCATTTGAGTGGATCAACATCTACTACATCATCAATATTAGTTAGGTTGGTTAAACCAGTGAAAACTTAGTAAAACCGCAGAAACAAACTACCTGATAATAGGCATTGTAGTGCCAATATGGGGCACGGCACACTGAAGCCGGTCTCGTGCTACAGGGAAGAGTAAAATCAATGTGGGTGACCGAGGCCACAAGTTAGTTGTTCTATTGAAGCAAGACTTCAGTCTTTGATTGTTGAGAATCGTGACACGTTATGCATGATGAAAGTTCTTAGAGCGAGTCTCATGGGCATCTCAACTAAAGAAATTGATTTTACGACAGGGTCGGGCCGCTCATTCCCAAATAATCGTAATCTACGCTAAACTCTAGGAGGCGAAATTAATTATTCCTACTCAAAAACAAGGGCAACCTTAAAACAGGACAACGCATCTCCCACCATACAAATTAATTATTGACGGCGACCGTATGACAAAAGTACCCCCACCTTGCCCCCTTCCAAAATACACTATTTATGCAATTTACCCCCATCCAAACCTTTTCTCACACTTTTTTCCCCACAACAAGCTTTCCTCGCAAAAACCCCCCAAGGTCAAAAGTTGTAATTTTTGGAAAAAAATGGCTTTACCATATAATAAAAATTCAATTGGCAGTCCGAAGTTGTATATTGCCGGAGCGAAGAACAACACCGTCGGATCGCTTTGTAATGACTGTAGGATTGCAACAGGCACTGCCGGAGCGTTGAAAACAATGCCAGAGTGCACAACTTCACCGCCGGAGCGCTGATTGTATCACCGGAGCACTGATTGTATCGCCGGAGCCATGTACTAAACAGTCGGAGTGCAATGGCTTACTGGCGGAGGGGCTGCTCTGACTACCGGAGCGTTGTGGCTCCAAAAGCTTGTCTACGTGTTTCTCTATTGCCGGAGCGCTGTGGCTCCAAAAGCTGCCGGAGCGTGTTTCTCTATTGTTGGAGCGCGTTGTCTTTATCACCAGAGCCTGTAAGCAGACAGCTGGAGCGCTGTGGCTTCAGAAGCTGTACTGCAAGAGCATGTTTCTCTATTTCCGGAGCGTGTTATCTTTATTGTCGGAGCGTGTAAACGAACTGTCGGTGCGCTGTGGCTCCAGAAGCTGTACTGCCCAAGCGTGTTTATCTATTGCAGGAGCACGTTGTCTTGATCGCCGGAGCTTGTAAACGGACTGTCGGAGCGTCGTGGCTCTAGAAGCTGTACTGCCGGAGCATGTTTCTCTATTACCGGAGCGCGTTGTCTTTATCTCCGGAGCGTGTAAAAGGATTGCTAGAGCGTTGTGGCTCCAGAAGCTGTACTGCTGGAGAGTGTTTCTCTATTGTCGGAACGCGTTGTCTTTATCGTCGGAGTATGTAAACGGACTGTCGGAGCTTTGTGGCTTCAGAAGCTGTACTGCCAGAGCGTGAAATATGCAGTGGAAGATCGTCTTGTTATAATTGTCAGAACGTCCATTCTATAATGCCGAAGCGAATTGTTGTATTGCCAGAGCAACTTCTTATACTGCCGGAGTGCTTTCACTACCTTTTTTTTTTTTTGTTGGCTTCTTGCCTTTTGTGGTGTTGTATGTTACAACTGAGTTGGGTGTTTCTCTTTAGTGGTGTTATATGTTAACCTTTGGTGGTGTTATATGTTAGCCTTTGGTGGTGGCTTTACATTCTATGTAGTGGTGTTATATGTTAGCCTTTGGTGGTGGCTTTACATTCTATGTAGTGGTGTTATATGTTAGCCTTTGGTGGTGTTATATGTTAGCCTTAAAGCAGTTACACTTCTCTTTGATGGCTTCATATTATAGTTTATCACAAAAGCAACAACTAGCATTGCATGAAAGCAACCGCATTTGATAACTAAGTAACATTGTCATAAAAATATATAATCTCCAACCTGATGACTTTCTTACAATTGAAAAGGCAGATAAAGAGAGATCTCGCATTTATGTAATATACCTTTGATTGAACATCTGTTTCGAACATTCATATAAAATCCAAAAATACATATCAAACTCAACATCAAAATATAACCAACCATGTCATTTACCTAACATCTGTTTCAAACATACTGATCAAATCCAAAAATAATATGAATGCTGGTCAATGTCAACCATATTCTCTTGACATTTGTTTCAAATATACATATCCAAGACAAAAAAAAAAAAAGTCAATTTTTCCGTAGCAAATTCCACCTCGATTCCTCTTGCAATGTCGGCGCTTGAAAGTGATTAGCTTTTTTCTTTGTTCTACTCCCATTTT